GTGCCTTGCAATTCTCTTGATCTGTGGATGGCCAGCAAACTTCTCTTTCAAAGCTGTTGCAACTTGTATAGCATTTCGTTCCCTGGGTTTCATCTGAAAAAAAGTCATAACATTAACAAAATTCATTCTAAAGTTTTATTAAAACAAATAATACATACCACTCCAAGCTTTTCTGCTGCCCTAGCCTTCCACATACGGATATTCATTTCATCAGATCCACTCAAAACATATTTATCATCAAGGGACCATAGTACACAAGTCAAACGCTGCATACGTTTAGTGTGATACACCTGTTAATTAATTTGATAATTAAACAAGTCATCATAAATATACATTCATCATACATGTTTTTTTAAATTAATACCTCTCTTGAATGTCCCATGTGACTGTCGAAAATTCTGATTGTTTTATCATAACTTCCAGAAACAAATTCTTTTCCTGTTGGTGAATAATCTACATCTACTACAGCCGAAACATGATCCATGTGGACCATTACTGGTTGTCTTAACTTTCTTGTGTCAAATGTGTATAAACTAAAAAATTGTGTTAAAGGTTATACATAAAAATATATACATATGTCAATTTTGCTCACTCTAATATCAAATAATATCAAAGGCGAGACATAATGCATCTTTTAAAATTATTATTATTAATTCTATTATTTTACCACTTTCATTTCCCTCAAGTGCAACTATTAATATGTTTAAACTTTAACATATTATTAAGAATTAAATTTAGAAGTTTGAGCTAATTGGCTTTGATTGATCTAATTGATTATGGTAAATAAAACAGTAATAAAAACAAATGTTAAGACTAACTTAAAATCTAAGTCAATAAATTAAAATTTAAATAAAATACAATTACTTACTTATAATCTTCATTTGCTAAGGTGAATGTGAAGGCCTCCATAGGATTCCATGCCAGTCTATTAGATCTCAGAGTCATAACAACCTTTCTCAAAGGTTTAGCTTCCCTGGTATCATACAATATAATGCTTCTATCACTGGCACAAGCCGCTAACAAGTTTGTCTCAACTCGATTAAAGGCTACATCATGTATACTATCTACTCCCCATTTCATAGACCTTATGGGTTCATTTCGATCATGTTCCCACAATTGACAGACTTCACCACAAGTTGCTATTATAGGTTTTTTACGGTGATGGGTTACACCTGTTAGAATTGTTCTACTTAAAATTGTATTGACAGGTTCTTCCTCTTCTCCAAATTCAGGAGGGCTGGTATTCCAGGTTTTGATTGTTTTGTCATCACCAACAGTTATAAAGTGTTGGCCATCTGGTTTATATGCTAGACCTCTTACTATCCCTATAGTAAATAAAAATAATAATGATGAGAAATCAAGTCAATGAGAAATCAATTATTTTTATTATAATAAGTTGAGATATAATTGATATACCAGAAAAATAATAATAATATAATGAATGAAAATTCAATTATTTTTATTATAATAAATTGAGTTCGACTAAATTTCATTTTTGATGTATCTGAGGCAATAAGTCAAGTTATGCTCATCATAGAAAAGTGTTTATCATAACACCAAAAGCACAGGGAAAACGATGTATATCTCATTTCCATTTAATGTTTATAAGATGCTTGTCCCTGTTTTTGAGGATTAATGAACCATTTCCTATATATGAGTGCAAAGAAATCTAAATCAGAATTTGAAATTATTGATAAATAATATTTAAAAACTCATTCAATGGAATAATTTGAGAATGAATTTATTGCACTTTATAGTGAAAGGTGAATCATTATATTGATGATATTTTTATTACCTTCATGTGCAACGAAACTTCTAATACATTTTCTTTGTGGCAAATCCCAAACTCTAACTTCTCCATCATAGGCACCACTGGTTAAATTTGATAAACTTGCTGGATGTTTAGCAAAACAGGATACACCATCTCTGTGACCGCTAAGATTGCCGACAAAAGGCTTAGCAAATACCCTTTCTAATTTAACTGCATTTAGAGCTCTAACATATTCTCTGGGAGCCTCAAATGGATGTAGTGCAGGATCATAGTTTCTGGGAACTGAATATAAAAATAATAAGTATAGACTTTTGCTAGAAAAAAATACTTCGGAATGAATTTTATAGAAATTCTGGCAGCGTTATTTGCACTTATTTGTTGTATAAAATTTCTTCGTTGAATTAGTGGCTTTATAAAAGTGGCCAAATTACTTATGCGTTGTATTATTACAGGTTTGGAAGTAAGAAAATAATAACACCAGAATAATCAATCAATCAAGGACATTTTTGCATGGTCTCAATGATAAAAATTGGTATTCGAGGTTATTTGTCTGGCAAGCAATTAGTTTGAGATATAGCATATAAAAACACATTTTTTATTTCATATACCTCTATGTATATCCAATTTTGTTGGACGTAAGTATTCATCAGGATTTCTGCTGATTACTTTGACTTTCATTTTGTATGCTACTTTAACACTATGATTTTAAATTATGATTTATAATAAATATTAAAACATTTGGATATCGAAAATGAATCCAAAATTTGTTAGAGCAAATTTCTGTCGAAGCACTACTTATATATTTATATTATTAGATTATATTAACATTAAAGTAATTCAACGTAATATAAGAAACGTCAATCTTGAAATAGGGTTATGTTTCTAATGTCAAAACACGTGTTCAAGTAATTCGCGTTTTGTGTAGTGGCTAACTTGTTTCTTAAGCGGGTAATTCGAACTTAAACTTTAGTGAGGAAGCTTGAGGAAATAATTTTTTTTTTGTGGTATACCAGATTAAAAAGAATGTTGTAATTTATTATAATCATATATAATATATTTTTCTGGAATATCATTTAATTATCTACAAAAATGTATATTTCGGATAAAATTTAGTATTTATTTTATTATTATTTTATTTTATTTATTCATAAGCAAGCCGTAATCAATAATAATAGATATTATTTCAGGCTCTTGTCAAGCTTATTCATAGTTAATATTAAAAGGATACTAATTTTATAATAATCATAGTAGCTGCACGAATTTTGATTCTGAAAAAAAGAGCTGAAAAAAAGCATTCGAACATTAAATACAATGTTCATCATCAAGTTCATCATATTAAAGTCTATTTGACCACCAGTCAAGCTCAAAATTCTTGCACAAGGTTGAAAGTTATACTCATTTAAAACCGTAAAAAATTTAAATTAATAAAATAGCAATAAAAAAAATGAAGAGAAAAAAAAATAATGGTTGTACAGGCGATCAAATGGTCAGACTACATAGATACAGGATAAAGATTATGCAAGAAAATAGTTATTGAATTCAAATTGAGAAAATTCAGTAATGTCATAAAAAGCTAAGTCTTTAAAAAGTTTAACTAGGGAAGCATGAAATTTTTTGCTGTCTAAGTTTCGGATATTGAGTGGAAGTGGAAGACCGTCGATCGTATTGAAAGAGCTGGCCAATTTAAATGTACGCGCCTTAATAAGTTTGTGTCTAGTGTTGTAATTTGAGGACGAAGCCATATCAAAAAGTTTCGAATTGTTTTTGATGAAAGTTAATGTTACTAGCAGAAAAATGCATGGGACAGTTAGAATATTGTATTTTTTAAATAAGGGTCTGCAGGAGGCTTTACTGGGCAGGGAAAAAATTATTCGAATAGCTCTTTTCTGAAGCTTAAATATTTTAATTAGTTCGTATGAGTATTTCATACTATCAAAATGATTCCTGGATTTTTGATTGGATTTTCATAAATATAATCAGATTTTTGTGTTAAATTTTGTTATTATACCTACACCTTTACTTTATGTTCTTACAAAACACGACGCAAATTAAAATGATGTTTAGGGAAGAATTTTCTTAGCAATTCATGTTAATATGATAATATGATATATATATATATATATATATAATCAAAGAAATGTTAAAATTTTCAAAAATACTAAAATTTAAAGTAACAATCCAACCAGAGTAATTATGTAACGAAGAAAAATAGTATGAATTTTTGTTAAAAACTACTAACTACATATACAATTAATTACTGTCAATATTTAAAAAAAAAACAGTGTCCGATAAGTCCATGGTCTGATAAGTTGTAGTAAATTTGCTTTTTGTCATGAAAAATATGATTTTTAAAGATCAGATTTTTTTGCAACGTAAATTGAATTTTCTGTTAGCAATAGCAATATTATTAGCCATCACTTGGAATATTTGAAAACTTTTTACTCTCTCAGGATATATTATTTGAGCATGCCTTGCATTTTGGTAAAAGAGTAATAAGTAATAAAATTCTTATAGCAATTTTTATAAAAGAAATATAAAAATTAGGATATTGACAATCAGAGCAAATATTATTAAATTAGTACTAGAGAAATCTAAATTTAAATTGAACATATAAAGAATTATATAGACACGTTTATGAATAAATAATATATGAAATTAGTTAGCAATTTTCATATTAGAAAAATAAAGATTAGACAATCAAAATGATTATTACAAAATTATTGATAAAATAATCTGATTTATTAAGCATATACATGCTCTCAAAAAGCACTATGTATACACGTTTATAAATAAAAATCTAATAAAATTCATGGAGAACTTCTTTCATGAGCAATGGCAAACCTAATAAAATCATCAATTATTTACTGAGAATGAATCAAATAAATAGCTTTTCATACAGTTCGGATATAGCAAGTGAAAATCTAGTTGATTTTATTTTGAGATTTGAAGTGAATTAGATATAAATTAAGATGCAACAATTATTTGCTTCAAGCAAATTGCTCGCAAGCTTAAAATATTGTCGATATTTGAGTTTTGAGAACTTCTACATTTTTTGAATGTAATATTTGTATATATAATATAAAATTTAATAAAAACTTACGCTTTAAATATTAGAACTCTTGTTCAGAAGATATACTGTTCAAAAATGTTATTAGCTCTTCGTCTATTGCTGTCGAAACTGAATAGAATTTCTTTACATTTTTGGTTTCATTCATTCAACAGTTTTCAAAGGAACTATTAATATCGGGCTGAATTAACAATTAACAAATTTTAAGTTGAATTTATTTGAGTGAAATGAATTGTTAATGAAAATTGCAGGTTTATTGTGTATGATTATTTTTTTATCCAATGTATTTCGGATTTACGTTTATTCATGAAATATTATTTAAATTAATTAATTTAGCATTAGCTATAGTTCATGATTATTCAAATTTTTATGTGTTTTCACTCTTATTGGTTTGTTACATTTATTGCAATTTTGGAAATATTATTCAGCGTAGAAATTAAACTGAATTGCAAATTTAGAAATTATTAAAATTTGCAAAATACACATGTGATGCACAAGTACTGAGTGTATAGATTAGTACCTTATAAACACAGTTTTTGTTAATAATTTTAAAGCTATGAATCCAATGATATTATCATTATTTTTTTCAAATTTTAAAATATGACGTTTTACAAAATGTCACAAAAAAAACTATTTTTTTTAAATTGAACGTTTTTAGCTCCAATGTTTCTTTTTCACTTACAAAATGATTGTAAGACTGGCAACTATCAAAAATGCATCTCAATCAGTGTATAGCATTCACGTTCTACTAATAAACGCGCGCGTTAAAAATAACTTGGCAGTGCGTTCTTGTCTTTTGATGTGATGAGCCCAGAAATACACAATTTCAGGATCAGATATCCAGTTGTAAACTCCAGCTAAGAACTTCAAACTGCAAACTTATAATTTGCAACCTGCTAATCCGAAATCATGGAAAACTGGTCCACAAACGCGATCATTAACTGGAATCATCATGGAATTATGGAGTTGCCAAGTGAATTGGAACATTATGGCAGTAGCGTGAGGGAAATGCATTTACAACATAATAGAATTCAAACTTTGCCGCCATGGATCACGTATTTAAGGAATTTGAGTGCACTTTATTTGGATAATAATAATTTGCGGGATATTCCGGAGGAAATTGGCACCTTGTCGCACCTGACTGATCTGAACTTAAGTAGTAACAGTTTGAGCAAACTTCCGCAAGAGATCAAATCTTTACACAGTTTGACGAATTTAATCATTACTGATAATAACTTGACCAATTTGCCCGGTAAGTAGTCAGATTTTTTTTCAATATTAATATCAAACTACAAATAGTGCTAATAGAGTAAAGTGTCTTTGTGAGCAACATTATGAAAACACCAGCAAAGACATCTTTGATAATAATTGCTTGGCAATATTCCGTTGTTTACTAAATTTGATCTATCAACATATTTTGTGTATGCTAGTCGATTGTTTTACTAGAACTAGGCTTTTCGAATGTCTAATCAAAGGTCCAGATACATAATTTTTTACTTGGCTCATTGCCATTTTAAAAAACATACAAACTTAGCAAGCTGAGAATGCTTGTTTTGTTATAAATTTTAACTAAACACATACTTGTTTATTCTTAAAACTAAACTAGTGGTGCATGGCATCGTGTCTTAAGGCAAATTGCTGGAACTTCTCATACCGTAATAAAATATTCTAGAAATATTAAATGCTTTCAAATAGATTTTATAAATACTGTAACTTATATATGTTTACAGAAAAATGAATAAAACAACACTTAATCAATCGAATTAAAATGAAGACATTGCCCAATATTAAAAGAATTATATAAACTGAATTGCAGGGTTAAAATTATTT